AGAAATTCCCTCCTCACTCCCGAACAATTATTACCCACACACTTTTCGCTGTCAAAATAAACATTACCAGATTATAGAACACAAATAATACCCCCTCAATTACCTCACTACTTACAGACCTCAACACCCAATGTGAAATGGAGAAAAAATCCGCAATCAACATTTCCTCTCACCATAAATTTAATCAGCAATTGACCCGATGGTTAAATCACCCAAAATGCTCTGTACAACCCTGATAACATTTAAACAGTAAAAACTACCTCCTACACCGAGACTGGTATATCCTCATTCACCCAGTTATATCTTTCCTCCCCTAATCCTCACCTCCCCCATCTCCCCCACCAATACCCCCCCTAACATCCCAAGCTCCTCACCAAGGTTCATCATACACATATGAATACCTCTGATGATATTGTTAAATAAGACCAAGGCCACCACTGCCCAGTGAGTGGAATAACATCAAAAATGCTCAAATGTATAACGTTTATTGCAATACTGTATGAATGAATCATATCTCATTTCCTTGTTTGTCTCTGAAAAATTCAATAAAAATATTGAAACATAAAACAGAGATCAAACCTGAAAATTTGTACCATTTTTTTCGACACCCACAAAAATGCAGCTGCCATCTTGTTTTGTATTTTTTTTTTTTCCTCATCAGAATTTACTTCCTGAAATACATGACAATCACATACTGTATCACGTAAAGAGATACTGTCACTTTGCCCATACACAAAAAAAGATACAAAAACTTTGAAAAGGGCAACATGTCCCCATATACTTAATAAAATTATACTAACTTACAGCTTATTCCTCTGCAGCCAGCACAGTAATCAGCTGTGTGGGCAACCTGGGAAGTGTCACTCCCTGTAGTGCTATAGCACAGGATCATATATACTGAAGAAGTCTACAATAGCTTGGCACTATTTCTCTTAAGTTCATTTGCAAAAAAAATATTAGAACAAACATTTACTTAACTGATAACAGATGACAGGTTACAGAATTAGCCATCACATATCTCACTCTCAGGTTCTGTCCGTCTCAGAAAGAAGGCCATACATTTATACATCACTACAGGCTGCTGTGTTTTGAAAGTTTTTTCTCTAGGCAGGGTGTGAACTGGTTAAATGCTACAAAAACTAAGGACTCAACAACCACTCAGTGTTCTGTGACATCCAGATTTGGACATTTCTACTCCAGATGCTTATTATACTGTAGCACCTTCTGGTGTACATAGTTGTTGAGAGTAGTTAGAAGCCTGGGTTTTAGTATGAGGGTTATTTCAGGTCAGGGCTGGAAGGCTCTAAAGGTCAAACCTCTGGTACCTCCCCCTGCTCTAGAAACTTGGAGAATCTTCCAGAAGTCAGTAGGTGGAGGTGAGGAGGGGCTGATCTGCATATTTATGGGAGTCTGGCCAATCCCAGGCAGGAGGTCTGGCAGTGTGGCAGATCAGCCCATAAATATGATAGAGCTTGGCTGTCACAAGTTAGCCTGCAGTTTCTTGTTTGTGTATTCTTACCTCCTTGCTGCAATGCTGTTTCTGATCCCTTTCACATGAGTGTTTGTCTGTGCTCACCTATGGGCGTCGTCTGCTGTTCTCTGGGTTTTATTTCCTTCCCTTCCATCACTTCCTGGCCCGCCTCCTTCTTTGCCTGCCTATATAAGACATGCTCAGTCTAGGCCACTTTGCCTGAGCAACTTCCTAGTTGTCTGAGCTCCTGTGTGTTGCTATTACCTGTATCCTGCATTGACTACTTGTGTCCTGACGTCGGCTAGTCTATCGGATTTCTGTTTGTCTCCTCCCATTGTATTCTGCTCCCGCAAGCGGTCTCCTCGTCCTCAGCTGCACGTACCTGGGGGCCGCGACCTGGTCCCAACTTGCTGCAAGTCCATCCCCACCATCAGGGGCTCTGATGAGGAAGCAGGCTGGGGCTTACACTCTGCGCCCTGGGTAACCCCAAGTTGAGTATCTACAAGGGCTCACTAATACAGGTGCTTACACTGGCCAGCAGGAGAGTCAGGTGGAAGATGAAGTGCTGGGAGGTGCTGCTGTATAGCCTGGGAAGGGGCCCCAGAGAAGATGGGTCCTGCTTCCAGGCTGGAAGCTGGAGGAGGAAAGCTGAAAGAGGGAGCTCCACTGCGCTGCAGTCCACCAGGGAAGGACAGCCTGCCAAGCTTGGAGAAGAACCAGCCCAGCTACAGAGGTCTGAATGTGGTTCAAACCATAGCTGCAGGACAAGGAGGGTGTGAGTACCTCTACACCCCCCAGGGCCCAGCAGGGAAAAGTTTGCTGGATGCAAGTTCTGGCAAGTCTTTAGGGAACAGTGCATAGCTTACCCAATCCCATGATCTGGTATCAAATACTGTAGCCAGGTGGGCTGGTATTTTGTACACTTAGGGCACATAGGGCTTCTACAAGTTGGAACTTTTCAAAAATCCATTCAAGGGGACTCAGAGCTCTTGCAAGTTGCTTACTTTCTAAAGACTGTCAGGATTCCGACTGGACCACAGTCAGTCATTCATCTGCCATTGTTGTAGCATTTTCTAGAGAAAGAAGTTATCCTCAAACTTTTATTCTGCAATCAGGTTGGGCATCCCATAACCCTTTTATCCTATCCAAGCTAAATTCCCTAATAAAGCTATAAAACCAAGTCCATGGACTGTTTCTTGTTTCTGGATGCAAATGGAAAATGCCTGGCTGTGCAGGAAGTAAAGAGGGACCCAAAGCCAGCGGCTCTCAAGAGGGTAGCGCTACAATACTGTAGCACTTTCCTAGATAGGTGCTAGGATTAGTTGAATTTAGTGCTGGCTCACTGGGTTCAGTGGAGCCTTGTGTATTTTTGGTAAATTTAGCTTGCCTCGCTGTAACCAGTGTGGCTGCAATTGACTTGTTAGGTCTGCTCAGTGTTCTCAGCTGCTGCAAGTGTGATGGCTCCCTCTGCTTTCTGGTAAATTGTAGAACTCTCCGTATTACAGGTGTGGAGCTATGCAGATGGCAGTGTGATTATTCATACAGCCCTGGCCAATCCTAGGGAGCAGGGCCACGAAGGCTCCTGGGAGTCTGTATATAATTGATGGGACACTGAGCTCTGGGTCTTTTTCTGCTGAGGATCAGTCCAGCTGGAGGGTAGCTGCCCTCCAAGGAAACACTGCCATGTGCTTGCTGTTCGAGAGGCCTCAGGTGGGCAACCTGAGGGGCTATAAGCTGATGATCTAGTCTGGTATCACTAGAGAAAGGTAGTTGGAAGTTGGAAGGAGGCCACCAACTGTCCCTGGACAGCCTTTGAGTACAGACTGCTGCGAGAGGTCCTAGAGACTTTGGCTTGGCAGTATGAGATTTCTGTTATGGTGAGATCCCCTTCTACTGATCAAGTGACCTCATAAATGACCCAACTTTAGAACCCTATTCTCACCATCTCAGATGTCAGAACTGAAGAGAGATACTAAGCAGTGCAGATAAAAACCAAGCTAAGCAAAAAAACACTTTTTTTTTTTCAAGGAAAAACATTCTAAAGCCTTTGTAGTATAGTAACAATTTACTCATGTTCAGATGCAGGGTCTTTTAACTCTTTTTTTCCACAACTCCCCTGGGTTCCTGTACATGCCCAGGAAGCATATATTCCTCTGCTTCCCTCCCTCAGCAGCTCAGAGAGGCCACATCTAATGAGGCAGAGGTAGCTGGGCAAGTGATCTTCGGCCAGGTGAGCAGCCCAACCTTGTCAGAACCTGTGTGCAGGTAGAAGGTCGAAGCCTAATAGCACTTAGCTCCCCTGTTACACAGCTACAGCTACTGTGAACAGCACCTCATCAATTGCTACCAAGTCCTCCAGATCCAGTGGGGTAGCCCATTGTCCTTGAGCCTTTGATTCTTCTAGCTGTTCACTTGTGCTACCAAAGGTACCCTAGACTTCCCTGAGAGGAAAGCTGTTTATGAAGATAAGTGCAAATATCTGTTCATGTTCTGAACTGTTTTCCTAAAGTACTACTGTTTGTGTAGCTTTCATAATCTGTTTTTGTATTATTCTGCAGAGTATGCATGTGCTTTGCCATTCTGACCTTGCTTTGCATTATTAAATTTAAATTTGCACCTGTTTAGTAAACTGCAAGTTACAGTTACTCTCTGTCTGATCATTTGGCCAATTATCTGTTCTCGGTTTTTATTTAATTAGTCTTGGGTTAAAGAAATGGTTTTTTTTTTAATTCTGCGTTGCTTTCAGGAGGTCCCAATTCTTAGATAGTTGTCACTGGAACAGGTGTCCCTAATAGAAGAATTTCCCCCCCCTATTTTGGTGGCAATCCTAAATTTTTGGTTTTCCCAACTCTGTTCTGTCCCAGTTACAATGGTCATGAGGACAAATAGAAGGGTGATTCTCCCCAGTGGGGACACAGACAGCAATAAAAACATAAAAGATGTTCTAGGTCCTCACCACTCTCCAAAATTTAAAAAACACAAACAGTTTTTATCTTAATTATTTTTGAATGTCATTTCTCCATATGCTCCTTTTATTCTGTGAAATTTATAATGCTTGGTTAAAAATGAACTTCTGAACCGAATGCTGAATTTGATTTTACTTCATCACCATGGAATGCCCTGTACAACAACACTAGGGAGAGGAAGGTGCAACACTCCAAGCCAAGGTGTCAGGAGAGTGAGCAGGAAGATTACTTGATTACATCATTCTGTTGCTGGTCTAAGATAATCACAGGCTGGAGGAAGGAACATGACCAAGCTGTGATGCCTAACTGTAGTAGACAAAAGTGAGGTCAGCAGGCTGGCAAATGTATATGTATTGCAATGGAGGATTTACCAGTTTGCCTATTGTTCACATTTGAAGTTCCTCTTTTATATAGGAGATTAGGAAGGGGACTGTTTAACCACCTTCCGCCCGCCATATAGTACAATGATGGGCGCAAGGTGGTTCTCTCGTTCTGATAGGACGTCATATGACGTCCTTCCATTCTCACTGCGCATGCGCGGTTCAGAGATCGCACAGCGCGGCCCTCAGACACAGCGGATCACGGAAAGAGCCGAAGATGTCGGCTCGGTCATGTGATCAGCTGTGTCCAATCACATGTAAACACGGAAATGCCGGTTATCGGCATTTCTCTCCTCTCGAGCTGTCACGCTGACAGCTCGAGAGGAAAGGAGAGCCGGTAATCGGTTTTCCGGAGGGGACATATACACTGATCATCAGGGCACTGATGATCAGTGTGCCCTGATGATCAGTGTGGCCCCAGAAGTGCCACCTGTCAGTGTCCATCAGTGCCAGCAGTCAGTGCCCATCAGTGCCACTGCCCATCAGTGCCACATATCAGTGCATACCAGTGCACATCAATGTCACATATCAGTGCCCATCTGAGCTGCCTTTCAATGTCACCCATCAGTGCCAGCCAGTGCCACCTATCAATGCCAATCAGTGCACCTATCAGTGTGCTGCCAATCAGTGCCACCTATCAGTGCCAGTCAGTGCCGCATATCAGTGCCAGTCAGTCCCGCCTAACAGTGCCAGTCAGTGCCACCTATCAGTGCCAGTCAGTGCTGCCTATCAGTGCCTCCTATCAGTGCCATATATCAGTGTCATGTATCAGTGCTGCCTTTCAGTGCCCATCAGTGAAGCCTGTCAATGCCCATCAGTGCAACCTACCAGTGCCTCCTCATCAGTGCCACCTATCAGTGTCCATCAGTGCAGCCTATCAGTGCCCATCACTGCAGCCTCATTAGCGCACATCAGTGAAGGAGAAAAATCACTTATTTACAAAATTGTATAACAAAAACTAAGAAAAAACTTTTTATTTCACAATTTTCAGTGGTTTTTGGTTTGTTTAAGAAAAAATAAAAATCCCAGAGGTGATTAAATACCACCAAAAGAAAGCTCTTTCATATGGGTACAGTCTTGCATGACAGCGCAATTGTCATTCAAAGTGTGACAGCGCTGAAAGCTGGAAATGGGCAGGAAGGGGGTATAAGTGCCCTGTAGGCAAGTGGTTAATAAAGACGTGTATTTATTTCACAGTCCTGCCTTCTAGTATTAAATGTGTCAGAATGTTGAGTTTATATAGTTAGCTATTCAACACTAAAGACCAATAACATTAATTTGACATAGTCTAACTTACTAAACAACCCTTTTTCTTAAAACAACCAATTAAGTGGATTACCTGTTGGTTTCTTACATCTCTTCTGGTGTCTAGCAGTAAGATTTCCCTGCCAGGGTAATCCCACCACTGCTGTGGTGTTTCATCACTCCTGGTACTCTCATCTTATAAATAAAATCTATCAGTTGTCAAACTACATTTTTTTCAAGGTGATTCAAGATGCTTTTTCATTTTCTGCATTCCATCTAAAAGGCTTAGCTACGCACTCATGTAATAAAAGGGAAAGTATAGTGTTTTTCAACATGTCTTTCATTACTTCTTACTGTGTGGTCAGAACTAAAAAAGATAAAAGTGTAAAAAATACTTTTTCCTTGGGTAATGTGTTTACCAAATTGTTGCCATGTTAAAGTATATCTTTTTCTCAGATATCTTTATTGTGTCCCAATCTGGCTAGAGCAATTAAAGGCTCTGTTTGAAAGTGTAGTGTTACCCCTAGAGGAGCCGCTGAATCATTTTATGATTCATTTCAGGTGCTTATATAGCGCCGTCAATTTACGCAGCACTTTACACACATATATATATATATATATATATATTGTACATTCACATCAGTCCCTAACCCTCAAGGGGTGTACAATGTAAGGTCCCTAACTCACATTCATACGTACACATACTAGGGACAATTTAGACAGGATCCAATTAACCTACCAGCATGTCTTTGGCGTGCTGAAGGAAACCGGAGTACTCTGAGGAAACCCACACAGGCACAGGGAGAACATGCAAACTCTAGGCAGGTGGTGTTGTGGCTGGGATTCAAACCAACGACCCTAGTACTGCCAGGCGTAAGTGGTAACCATTTAGCCATTGTGCTCGCCAATCCTGAAGATGACATACCTTGCTCACCCAGCGCTTACCGACACCTTGAGGTATTTCATAGAATTTATTAGGCCAAAATAGAAAAGAGAGGATTAGCAAGTGTAATAATACAGACAATCAATAAGGCAGCCCATATATTATGCATTTTTTTTTCATTAAACCAGCAGGTTGAACAAAAAAAATGTCTCAATTCAAGTGGATGGGGGATTCCCTTCTGCTGTGGTATTGTATTCTGACAATGGGGAGAAAACAAGGATCAGTGTTGCTGACTATAGCCAGCAGCACAGATCAATTTGTATAATATCAGCGTGCCCTTACATGAATTGAAATTCGGCTGGTTCATACTGAACTTGTAGGGTAGATAGGTAGTACCCCCTCCATGTTCCCCTCCTTGTTGGGTGCAATGTGTGGGTCACATAGGAGGCCTACCCTGGGGTGGGTTCTTCTGGGCACCTTGAACACTGTCACTGTCTTACACATAAGGTACCTTTACTTGATCAGACAACATCAAAACTCTGATTAACTCTCTCGATGTTAATGTACACCACTACGGTCACTGTTAGGAGGGACATGCAGAGCCTATGTCCACACCACCTGTCCAGTTTATCTCTGCTACCTCACTCCCAGTAACACAATGGGGTCCCACCATGCACCTAGTATGGACTCCATGCATGCACTAACTTAACTCTTATTCTTCTGCACCTGAACACAGGCTAAGGGACCTCTGTGGTGCAGATCTGCTCCCGTTGCTATGGGAGATTTACAGCTCATGGAGAGAGTCCCGACAACAACTTCTCCTGCAGGAGGCTATCCCAACTGCCACATATACACACTTATGTCAGGCTGCATGGGAGATCCTTGGTAACCATTTTCGTCTTCATACCACAATGTGTCTTACTGATCCAGGCTGGAAACTACGTGTGTGTATGTGTGTCGGTTACTTGCATTACACCTATTTAGTAACTTCCAACCAGGCAAGGATTAAGTTTCAAAAGCTTTACACAAAATAACTTAGACATTACAGATGATAGCGATAACAGTCTTTCTCTAACTCAGGCTTGTTGACTGCCCCAGCCCCAGCATACCTGCTTAGGCAAAAGTCCATTCTTGGTTGTGTCCAGACTTAACATCTTCAGGGTAGACTGCAGGTCCTGGCCAATCTCTCTACATAGTGAAAGGTTCCAGATGTCAGGTAGTCTTGAGTGAGCACTCCATCATAGGCATTAGTAGAGAACCTCAATGGTGGCAGCAGCAATGGTAGGCGGCAAAAAGAAAGAGATTCTCTGGGCTCTGGACCACTGTCCCCTTATGTAGACACAGGACCAGTGGGTCGGACCCAAAAAAACCCCACCAATACAAAGCCGTTAACAGTTACCCTCACTCTCTTTTCTGGGGCAGCTAACTACATATAGGCAACCTGTTTGCAAACTGGACAAATTTCGATCCATCTATTACCGGTTTAAGGCGATAAAGTTACTTTGAGAAATGTGGTTAAATGCCTGCAGTATTCTAACAGTAATTAACAGAACTGAGCTGCATTTACCTAGAAACAGTATATAAAGGCAGTCCTAACTTGCTATAACAGCCCCAGTTTTATTCCGCTGGCCACAGATTGATGGAAAAAAAAGAACCTACAGTATTGGCTTGAAAAAAAAGCACCACAGTTCTCAGCAGACAACAGATCAACTTGATGCTAGTCCCTTAGCAGACCCTGGGTATTGTCTTCTGGGTCTCCAGACAGTCCTTCTCCTCCTTAGTTACAAGTGGTGGGAGTGCTCTCTATTAAAGTCTGAACAGGAATCCAGATCACACCTCACACTGCACAATGAGCAGTCTCTCCTGATTGTAGTCAGCTATGAGTTCTGTTCAGCCAGAGGTGGTAGACTTTTTCTCTATATGCCTTCTTGATTCAAGCCATACCTCTCTCCTTAACTCTCAGCAGCCTTCAGCCTACACTTATCTTTCTCTGTTGCTTCAGCCAATCACTGTTCCTCCAAGCTCATTTTAGACCCAGCCAAGATGGCTGCTATCTGCACAAGAAATACTCCATAGACCAGCATTGCAAAGTGGTCTCCTTAAAGATGGCTGCTGCACTTCTGCATTAATGATTATTCAGTTTAACCCTGTCCACACTGCAAAAGGATAATACATCAGCAACAAAGGAAGAAGTTCTGCAAAAGGTATCAACTACAGTCCACGTTATAATAACCCAATCACAATTTAAAAATGTAACTCACTCAAATCTCATATAACTGTTAATATGATGATGCTATTTACAGTAAAAAAAAATGTCATTCTTTTGTAAATCGTCAGCTTTCAATAAAATAATATGTGGTGATCCTGCCATGAAGATTCTTGTCCAGGCACTTCTTGTTATGGGGTGACAATGCTTTATCCCTGTCCACCAATTTCTCTCCAGCATTGTCACTCTGTCAAAAGCAAAAGAAGCAGCCCTAATGTCACCATCAGGAGGGCCACCATGACCAATACCATGCAGCCATTTCTGAAGTACATGTGGACAAGAGGTGGCGGCAAAGAAACTGCCGGTGATCAGAAGCAAAGAAATGGAACAAGCAACGAAAAAAAATGGAAAAAGGTATTTTCTAAAAAGAAAAATGTCCTGAAAGTGACAGATTAACTTTATTACATCTGAGAACCACAAGAATTTCCTATGGATTTTCCAACTCAGCCAAGCTACAGAAATTTTACACATTAGTTTCAGAGTAATTTAGATTATATGACAATATGGGCCCTATTAATATTTAAACTATATTCTTAATAAAGGAGACCCAGAGAAAAAAAAAAAAAATATATATATATATATATTTATATACACTATATTGCCAAAAGTATTGGGACACCCTCCAAATCATTGGATTCAGGTGTTCCAATCACCTTCATGGCTACAGGTGTATAAAATCAAGCACCTTGGCATGCAGACTGCTTCTACAAACATTTGTGAAAGAATGGGTCACTCTCAGGAACTCAGTGAATTCAAGCGTGGTACTGTGATAGGTTGCCACCTGTGCAATATGTCCTTCCATGAAATTTCCTTGCTACTAAATATTCCAGCTGTTAGTGATATTATAACAAAGTGGAAGCAACTGGGAACAACAGCAACTCAGCTATGAAGTGCTGGGCCAGGTATGACAGAGAATGTCAGCGCCTGCTGAAGTGCACAGTGTGCGGAAGTTGCCAACTGTCTGCAGAGTCAATAGCTACATTTGTGGCCTTCAGATTAGTGTGTAGAGAGCTTCAGGGAATGGGTTTCCATGGCCGAGCAGCTGCATCCAAGTCTTATATCACCAAGTGCAATGCAAAGTGTTGGATGCAGTGATGCAAAGCATGCCATAACTGGCTTCTAGAGCAGTGGAGACGTGTTCTCTGGAGTGACGACAAACAAGATATACCTGTGCTCAAATCCCAACAGCTAGTGCATGCATTTATCCAGCAGGTGTTAAAGGGATGTAACCACATATTAACACTAGAAA